TATATCGTTTGTTTTCATCCATTTCTCGCGAAAGCCCGGCAAGATTCGACAATTTCCAAATTCTATTCCGAATTTTCGATAAATCCTCCTTTGTCCCGCCTAATTAAACGTCGCGTTCCATCGATAATACGGCCAATGTTGTCTTCGATAATAACGAAATTAACTTGCAATTTTCAACGAAACGACAATTACCAAGCTTTGACAAAATCGCGCGTACATTCGCCATTGAAAATAATTCCACGCGACTACCAAGTTTCCCGATAAATTCGAATATTCCAATACTCTTTTTCCGATTCGATTCGATTCGATTCGATCGGTAACGAGCCGTCTCGATACGAGAGGCGCCATCATCAAATGATTAATCATCGATCGATATAATTATTCCGTTCCGGAATTCGAGGGAGTATTGGCTAATTTTTGTTTCCATCCGGAAAATTCGCAAATAAGAAGAGGAAGAGGAAGAAGAAGAAAAAGACGAAAGTGAAAGATCGATTTAATTTTGACAACATTTCCATCGTATCGATCGTGTCGTGGAAATTTAGTATCGTTAACGTGAGATGATTTACAAGGAGGAAATAATCTTTTTCGAAACACGGCAGAATATGTTGGGGTGCGAAATACGAGGCCTTGGTGGGTAAGGCAAAGTGGATTGCTGTGTAAGGTGATGGAGTATGAAAAATGGGTAGAAATAACACGAGAGAGAAGTGAAAGATTTAAAAGCCGGGAACCATCTAGAAATATATTCTAACGTTGTTGTAACGTTGCCGTTGTATTTTTTTTTCCTTTTTCTTTCTTTCTTTTTCTCTATTTTTGAACCATGTATACGTATCGCATCGCGATTAAAAATACAATTTTCACCGTACCGAAAGATATTTTGTAAAATATTCCCGTAAAATTTAATTCCCACTTCGCGCGCGCGATAACATTTCCCAAGAGCAACGATTCAGCGAAAATATACGTTTCGTACAAGTTTCATGCGAAGAACGAGTGCGTATCGCGTTTTTACAAAAGGAAGACACGAAAATATAATCTTTCCCATTCGCCGAATCTACCTATCGTCGAAACATTTTTCAGGAATGGGGGGAGGAGGGGGATTCGTGAGAACCGAAACATCGAGATCCGTATTCGCATCGATATTTCCACGATAATGAATCTTGATACCTATAAAAAAAAAAAAAAAAAAAATCTAATCAAACATGTGAAACAAACTATATGGGAGAGAGAGATATGGGAAGAGATATGGAGAGAGGATGAAATCCGATAAAGGGCCACGAATAAACCATTCGCTTTCGTGCCATTGTAAAAAAAAAAAAAAAAAAGGAAAAAAAGAAAAAAAATAACAAATGCCTGCTGTTTTATCGATTGCATTTTTTATATCATCGTGCGGATTGGAGGGAAAAAGTCCAATCCGTTACGAGTCCATATATCCGCCGATTAAAACGCGTCGAAGAAAATAATTCGAAACGATGATTGTTTTAAATCAGTTTTCAAGGTTTTCTCCAAATTTCCACGAAATCATTCGGATCGAGACAATGACATGAACGAACCGGATAGATAACAGCCTCAAGGCTCGCGTCACGTTCTTTTCAGGAAGAACTCGAGTACGCACAGATCATTGGGAAAAAGATGATTGCGTTTTCCTTTCGCGCGACGAATCGCAGGAAAGATTCGAGTCGGTTTTCTTCTCGAGAACGTCTCCTATGTATTCGTTTGTTTTACGGTGATATTTTGTCGGAATTGGAAATAACGGAAATGTCTCTCGGCCTCGTAAAATTTTCTTTTCTTCTCGCGCAAAAGCATGATTCTAAAACGGGAGATTTCACGAATACGACACGTTTAAAAATTTTCAATTTATTCGCGAGTCGAAAGCGTGAAAAATAATTTTAAAAATTCATCCAACGGTTTTGCATTTTTTATTCGGGGAAAAAAATCGTTGGGAAAAATATTTGTCCTCAAATTGTCCATACGGTGCATATATAAACAAATAAGCAACTAATTACTAAAAAAAAAAAAAAAATAATACACATACCTATAAATTTGTACAACTCCATATCTCTTTAATATTAATCTCTGTAATATTTTTCTATCGAATTACACCAGGAATTTTTACTCGCTTTTCGTTGAAAATACGATAGTAGACCGACTTCCCTTCCATTTTTCAAAGTACTTTCCTCCGCGAGAATAATTCCTCTTATACGATTTCGATCATTTTAAAAATGATGAATGAACTGAAAACCAGTTGTAGTTTCAAATCATTCCGCGTATTCCCGCTCTCACTCTCGCGCCAATACTCATTCTCGATCCGCGATCGTTTCAAGGGACGAGTCTTAAAGTCTTAAAGTCTTGGACGCTCGAGTAATACTTGTTCGTTACGGTGGCAAGGAAACCCGCGCTTTTATCTACACGAAAATCTACGCGATATTCGGTTCGAATAGGAAAGCTGTTGAAAAGAAACGATTCGATTCTACGTAGAAGAGAATTCTCCCTTAGCGATCAAAAGTTGGAAAGATTCGTTTGTCCCCTTCGGCCCCGAGTAAATTTTCAGATTCTTCGCTCCCTTCTCCTATTCCCCGGCATGTAAAACTGCTCACGTAACGCGATCCAAAGTCGCAAAGGGCCGATTACACTTGGTTCGATTCCAAGCGAAATCGTGCAAGTATCGAAAGAGGCAAGGAGGAGGGATTGAAGAAAAAGAGTGGATCTCGTAGAAATTCCTGGCGAGGACCAAAGAAGCGTAGGAAGGAAGGTGAGATGGGGAAGAAGAAGAAAAAGACGGAAATCCGGGATCGACGCTATCGACGACACGGAACATCACGTTTGTAACGTGACGCTGTCGAGCGACACCCGGAACAAAGGTAAATTTAAAGAGGACACGTTCCCGACTTCTTTCAACTTCTTTAGCCGCGCTTTAGACGCGCGCATAAAACTAGGCATTATCGCGTTTCAAAGCTCGTTGGGGGAAAGAAGAGGAGAAAAGGGGGGGAAACCGTTTCTTCTAGTTTCCTTTCTTATAACGCAAATTTCCAATTTCGATTCGAATTTTCTTACTCGAATCGCGAACGATTCTTCCGTAAAGGCCCGAGAGAAAATGGGAAGAAAGGCCTTGGACGATGATTCCTTGGAAGGAGAAATGGTGGAATATTAGCGAGCATCGAAATCGCGTCTAAAGAGGCGAGATGCACGGTGGGAAACAATCGAAAATCTCGAGTGACGTTGGCCGCTTTCCTACTTCCGATAACCAACCCTCGTCGTCCTGGCAACCGGCTTAAGAACTTACTTCTGCATTTTTATCGGCAAGAAAACGCCGCGCCAAATTGGATAGAAGAGAGAAAGAGAGAGAGAGAGAGAGAGATATCGTTGACGATAGGGGGCAAAAATCCATCCCCCTCCGCGACCGAAATTCGACCCATAAATACTACAAGGCACGGACAATAGCAAAAGCTGATAACGCGATACGTTATCGCGGCCGAGGCCGAGTCAAAAGATAGTATTACAGTTGCAATCAGAATTCAGAGACGGTGGCGTGAAATTCTGTTTCCTTCTTCCTACCTTTCTCTTAACCCTCTCCTCTCTCCCCTTTGTCCCTTTACCTACACATAGGCTCGCCATTTCCGCGCCTTTCTCACCGTCTCGTTCATTGTCTCCTTCCTCCCCCCTCGCCTCGCTATTAACCCTCGCCTCGCCTTCATTATTCCTCTCCACTTTCCCCTCCCCTCCCCCATTCTTCGCCTCCCTGCCCCTCTTGTTCGCTCATTAACCACCGCTCTATTTACCCTCCCCCTCCCCTTCGCCGCCTCACTCTCGCTTCTTCTGTTCCCTGCTCCGATTGTCGTCCACGCCTCTTCCTCTAACCCCTCCCTCCCCCTCGGCTATCGGAGAGCCTCGCCTAACTTCATCGCGACGAGTGCGCCTCGAGATAAACGCGAAATTGTACGCGTCCGGTTCAAAGTTGCACGCCAACGTCCAACTTTCCGTTTCCCCTTCCCACCCCGTCTCGTTTACCCCTTTGTGCCTATCTTTCGGACGCGAAACAGCGAAATCGATTCGATCGGGAGAGATTCGTAAGAGAGAAACGTTCTCGTCATTCGTTACAGATAGAGCGAATATCTCTCGAGTGGAATAGAGGGAAAGGAGGATTCGTCTGTCTGGGCCTGTCTGGCAAGATGGATTGATTCGGAGGATGGAAAGTTGGCGGCGTTGTTTCACTAGCGAAAAAGAAAAAGGAGAAACGCTCGTTCCGCGTTACATTTGAAATTAGAGATTAGAAGTGGAAGATCGATTTTGCGGACGTTCTGCCGCGTAATAAAATGGAGAAAGAGAGTATATAAAAGATAGTAGGGCAGCGAATGGAGAACAAATAGGAAGCAGGGTCGAAAGAGAAAAAAATTGGATCGGAAGGAAAACAATGCGACCTACTACGCTCTAAGGATTGATACGCGGCACCGGAAACAAGCCTACCAATCAAACGGTGAAACGGCGCGGGAGATGCGAGGGAAGAATCGGCTCGTTCATCGATTCGTTCGAACCGCTGCATTTCCGGGCCACAAAAGTGCAAATTTTCCCCGATCAAATCGATATATCCCCGCGCTGTTCTCCGCCGCGATCGTTCCGACTCTCAACGACCCGCCAACTTCCTCTTTCGCGCGGAAAAAAAAATCCTTTCCACCCATTTCCAACTATTCGCGTCACGAGCCGTGGAAATTCTTCCTCCTCTATCCGCGAGCAGAAACACGAGTCACCAAGCTTTCTATCCTACGTCCATCGTACGACTTCCTTCCGGAAACGAAGTTCATTTTACGGTAAATTTGTGCAAATTTTCCTGCCGAATGAGAGACAGAAATTTCTATTTAGACTCGGAGATAGGATCGAAAGGCGTTAAATTGGTTATCGAAGGAGGAAACTATTTTTATCTTACATCGCGAAGAAATATCAGAAATCGTTATTTTCAAGCGAGCTTCCTCTTCTTAAAGGAGCGCAGTCTATCGTTCGATCTTCCTTTTCTCGAAATTAACTCCTATTAATTATTTATCTTGGGAAACAATAAGGCAGCGATAACGATACAGCTTCTCTTTTTTATCGCAGCACATTATCGAAGCACTCGCCGTTTCCGTTTCGACATCTCATCCTGCGAACAACAGAATTCGTTTCGAGAAAAAGAAATTTCGTTGCGTTTCGATCGATGGGGAGAGGAGGTGGTGGTCGTGTTAGTTGGAATAATTACGAGGGAGATTTTTCGAGACAGCTCGGGGACAAAGGAGAAAGGATGGGACCGAAGGGGTTGGAAATTAGAGCTGAAAATTTAGACTTCTTTTTGAAAGAAGTGCACGCGTCCGAGGCGTTGTTTCGCGAAGACAATCCTCTTAGGGACGTGGAGGAAACGTGTCCTAATTTGGTCTCTCTCTCGCTCTCTCTCTGGTTTTTGTTTCGTTTTATGCGTTCTTGCCAATGGAAATGCAAACACGAGAGAAAGGGAACGAGAGGGAGGGAACTACACACGTTTCCTCTTTGACTCGGTTCCACGCTCTTTGTGGACGGGGACAATGTTTTCGCAGCAATAGCTACGCGACCATACTCTAAAGCGTCTTCTTTCCAATCTTTTTTTGCGTCTGGGTCCATTTTTTTTTTTTCTTTTTTTCTTTCTTTCTTTCTTTCTTTCTCTTTTTTCCTTGCGCGCGCGCTTTCCAACAGTCGAGTTAATTCAATGGCAGGAATTTCGGATCATCCACCACTCGGTTCTCGGAAGGAGACCGAGCTTCTTTCCTCTATATTTCCTGTGCAAATGCATCGATAAAAAGATCGATAAAAAGATCGACCGATTTCCTCCCCCCTACTCGATCCTCCTCGACCTCGAGGAGAGAAAGTATTCTAAAACGATACTCGCGGTTCGGGGATAAAAAGGATAAATAGAGAAAAATTCGTAGCGAATTCGAACGCCAATCCCCTTCGTATTCGGTCGAATAGGTCGCTTCGTTTCCACGAACGTGGCGCTAAAAGAAGAAATCGAGTTTCGTTCCGAACACCTTGGGGCGCCTCGAATCACTTGCCCTCCGATAAAACCTCGGACGCGTTCGATTCTCGGGGACGAAAAGTTGCAGAATTACGCTTCGTTCCACCACTCGAAACGCGATTTTTACACTCTCCGCCAACTTCCTCCCCGATCGCGGCATCCGATCCGGTTCGTCGTTCATCGTCCTTTCGACCGGACGCGATTGAAATTGGGTTTGGAAATTGCAAAAATAACGCTCGGTCGGATCACGATATTTACCAGGCCATTATTTTCTCGTATTTGTCGAACGCGATTGTTCGAACGCGAAATTAAAAATTCCCGCGCGCGACAAATTCCGCCCATTATTCGATCGGGCGAAATACCGCGGGGGAGGAAAAACACCGACTAATCCCCTAAGCGTGAACGCGCATCGTGACGGACACTGTCGAAACGGGGTTTCATCGATCGCTCGTACAACGAGAAAATAACGAGAATTCGTTGGAAAAGGTTAACCCAACGCGTTTCGAGGCAAATAGTCGTCTCGTTATTTATGTCACTCCGCGATAAATATAAATCTATCGAGCATCGAAACGTCGAATTATCGATATATATTTTTCTTTCAGTTTATCGATTAGATTTCGTAGGAAAAAAAAGAAGAAGAAGAAGAAGAAGAAGAAATTTGAGAATCGAAGAAACGGCCGTTTAATCATATCGCGGATTCGACGAACTTCTCTCAAAGAGGAGAAACTTTTGCCTCGTGCTCCGATTTTGAACACGGCTATTGTCGCGCAGTTGGACATTCATCGTGGAACGAATCGCGCGACACAATCGTTTCGACAGGAAGAAATAAAAGTTCCTTTCGAGCGTGCGTCCGCGCGTTGTTCCATTTCTCCGCATCTCGCCAATTCTAACGCGATCGAACGTTCGCGCTTTGATTGTTCGTTGGTTTTATCGAAGAAGGAAAGAGAGAGAATAAAGAAAGGAAAAAGAGGACGAGGACCTTTGCTCGTTCGATAATTGCTCGTTCGTTCGAAATTCTTTGAAAATTGGAGAGCTGTCGAGGTTATGTATGACGTAAAGAAATTGTTATTCAAAGCAACGATATGATGGGAGGAGGGGGATAAAAAAAAAGAGAAAAAAGAAAAATGCGTGGAAAAACGCGAACTCGAAGCGGCGTAAAAAAAAAAAAGAAGAAGAAGGAACAATGGGAATGTAAACGAAATTGTTCGGAATTGTTTGAAAAACGAACACCGATTTTATGCGAAACGTCAAAATCCTACGAGGTCTACGTTTCAATTTTCCCCGAGCCGAGCCGAGCCGAGCCGAGCCGTGCAAACTTTAATGCTAAAGTTTACCTCCCCGATAAATCCATCGTTTCGTTCCATGCATCTGGACTCGGTTTATTTGCTCGACCAAGAGCGTTGTTGCCCCTTCCGATATTTCGATAATGAATGTGTCGTTAAACCGGTGTTTCGATTTTATCCGTGTCGCGCCAATTTTTTCCGCGATAAAAAAGACGCGGCCAATATATCGGAGCACGTTCGTGGGGGCAAGAGTTAATGGATCGAGCGACGACGATCGGATCGCGTCCACCCGTAAACTTTAACTTTTCCCACTCGCTCGAGCAACCGTGCGAAAAAGGAACGGAATTGAACGCCAACATCTTTCTCTCTCTCTCTCTCTCTCTCTCTCTCTCTCTCTCTCTCTCTCTCTCG